AAACATAAAATTAAAATGCAATTATTATTATGAAACGGAAGGAGTATTGTTTTTATGGGTTATGAAATAAAATTTTAGAACTAAATATATGTTAACCTTGGTTGTAATGTAGGTTCGATTATGTCCTTACTAATGGTTTGGTAGCCTTGGTTTTAGCATTTTCTACCAGAATGCTCATTCTTTTACTTGAAATTTCTATAAAACCTATTCCCTTGTAGTCATGTGTAGTCTGCTAATCTAACATCCCACCCCAACCACAAAAAAAGAAAAACCCAATTATTAGCATCCTTTGTACTGAAATTTGCACTCAACAACTTTCAGTATAGATGTTTGCATTTATTAGCTTCAGTTATTTGAAGCAAAAGTTGTCCAATTTATTTAATTGGAAGTGATAAATGAAAGAAATGCACATCAAGTAATATTAATTCATGATATAGGATCAAATAAGATGAAATGTTATTAATGGTAAATTGTACTTTGTTCATTTGAACCAAAAACAAATTGATCCCCCAGCAACAATAAAATAAAAAAGAAAAAGCTCAATGGCTACATAGATGTATTTCACAATTTGCAGCAACTATTATTTAAGTCACTAGTACTCTAAAATTATGGATTGTTTTATCATAAAAAACAAGTCTCAAGCCTCTACGAGAAAGGGAAAGGATCTATGTTCATTGGAGATGATTTTGTACCTTTTTCAGTAGTCTCTTTTGGAATTGCATAACACCTTGGCACAAGTCTTAGTCAGATTCTCTCCTTTAATTAGAACAACTTTGTGTAAACTTTAATTTATGACAATGAGAGGCAGCAGATTTGATGAACTTCAGCAAATTGCATCAGACTTCCCAAGTTTTGAACCTTTATCTATGACCTTGCAAAAGAAAGCATTAAGCATGATTAAATAATAAATGAATGGATAAATGAAAAATGAAATTAGCATATACAATAACATCAATATGCAAGACAAATTGTTGTTCTGATTGAAGTCAACCTAAACAATCCGTGAAATAATTAAATCAATCCCTTGCTCTTTTTTTTCATCTATATATACTTGGAAATGTATTCTATTCTTATTTAGTAGTGGGAGAGCCAGAGCAGCAAATATGACACAACACAAGAAATTAACATAAAATATGAATCTTGGCGATTAAAGACTAGGAATTTTACAATTATATTTCATTCAATCTGAATTAATTCAATTTCTGGAAGAAGAAAAAATAAATAAATTTCTAATGCAAGGACCTTTTATATGATTTTATCAATTTGTCCTGATGTACAGCACATTGTTGGAATTCTGTGAAGGAGCATCAGCAAACTTAAAGAAGGCTTGTAAATTTAGAGAGGCAAGAAATATAAACAGAATCATAAATAATTATTAATTAGTCTATTCTCTAAAATTAAAACCTAAAAAATGGATAGAAAGCAAAAGGGGGAGAAGAGGCCCTAACAAAAATTTTCTTTGGGCTTATCAACTAAGAGACAGTGTCAATGGAGTTCATATCATCAAAAAGATTTATTTTCCAATTTCAAAACTTTCCAGTTGAAGGGGACGCAAAACTGCACTTTACTCCAAAATATAGTGCACTATAAATTCAAGAAACAGGAAACTAGCATTAATTAAAAGTAAAAATGAAAGTACTTTGATAAAAATGTGATGTAGATGGAGAGGAAAAGGATGACAATCTTGAAAAGGGAAAATTTTCTGGATCGGGTGAAATGAAAACGTTATAGCATGAAACGATTGTGCCATGGCCATTCGCCTCAACGCTTGCTTGCCCATGAGAATCTAAGATGGAGAGGAACGAAGGCCTCTGAAAAAAGGGGAAATCTCCTAACCTTAACCTTGGGTTGGGAGGAAAAGGGCTTTAATCTTTGTTAACGTTGACGGAGATTTGTGTTTTCTGTTAAATTTCATCTCCCGTTACATTTTAATGATGTGTATTAAGAGAGTTGAGTTGTTGTATTTTTGTTGGACGGGCACGTGTGTGGTATTACTGTGATATTTTAGAATTTCTCGGAGGAGGAGAGGGAGAAAATCCAAGAACAGAACCTCGACGAGCTGTATAGTAAGGTGACGCAAAAACGTAATAATTTAGTTTTAAAATTTTAAAAAATAAAAAAATTAATAAACTAAAAAAAATTAATACATGATTTTCTTATATATACCATAATAAGTATTAGATATTTATAATCAAATCGAATTATTAGCTCAATTTAAAAAAAAAAAATTTAATTGAGATTAAAAAAAATTTCTTAAGTGAGTTAAGATAAAAAATTCAAGAGATTAAAAAAATACAATCAAAAATTTTTTTAATTGTAATTAGATTTTTTTAAAATTAAATATATCACTTGATTTGATTATAAATATTTAATATTATTTTTGTGTATTTGATAAAGCCATTTACTTATTATTTTTAATTTATTAATTTTTTTAATATTTAAACTTTTAAAAATTATTATATTTTTAACTTTAAAAATTGATTTTATAAATATTTTATTTTAACTTTAACATAAAGTTAATAATTTTTATTTATATAGGGTTTAAATTCT